GTGTTTATTTTATTATTAAAGTTTTGTTTGAGTGTTCGCCGGTTCCCACCTCCTTCTTCCCGACCTACAAACGTTTGTTACAGCTGGTAACCAAACAATCACTTCAAAACATCTTGTATACTTAATAGAAGAAAAAAATTCATACATGTTTGGAACGACATGAGGGTGTCACAGTTATGGACTTTTGTTTGTGTTCCTGTTCTCCTGCCTTAGTCTTCCTTTGACCTAGTTTTCCTGAGTTGCCCATATTAGTTAATTTGGTTCCACCTGTGTTTATTAATTATCTAATTTATCTATTAGTACTTAACCCTTTGGGGTCTTCTCCTGATAACACCGAAAATAACTTAAATTACACTTTCATTTTTGATCTTACAGATAAGAGCAATACATCAATCGAATCTGTAAAGGGTCTACTTTTATTTGTATACACACATAATAACAACAAAACTTTGTGCATTTATAAAATAAAGAAAAAAAACAGGGTGCTCTGTCTGCCGCCTTGGTCTGCGTGATCTTTATTTAGAAACGCGTCATTAAAATTAACTAACTCAGCAAATACTAAACAAAGAGACATGAGAGATATATCTATAGAAAGCTTGATATGTCTACTTTTAATCTAAGCAAGTCTTATTGAAAGGAAATATTCTGTGATAAAGTAATCCATATGAAACCAACGTGATGTCCAGTCTTTCACGTCTCCCTTCATTATATCTAATGCGACCATACCCACGCGCTGAGCGCACAATAGATATTATAATCATCCACGTGAAGCCACATCACAGCAAACAAAGCAGCAAGACCTTAAGTTTTTTTTTATTTTACTGTTTGCGTCGCGCTGAGAGGAATAAGACAGAATTCACCTCAAGAAGCTTTGGATTACCTCAGAAAAAACAATGCAGCGGCTTGATCCAGCAGTGATCATAAACATGAGTAAGTATTTTTTTTATTAACCTACTTGTATTATTTTTCACATAACTTGTACACATTTTACTAGTGTGACTTTCTCCAAACTATAATTCCTGACTAAATGTATAATCATTGTGTTTATTTTATTATTAAAGTTTTGTTTGAGTGTTCGCCGGTTCCCACCTCCTTCTTCCCGACCTACAAACGTTTGTTACAGCTGGTAACCAAACAATCACTTCAAAACATCTTGTATACTTAATAGAAGAAAAAAATTCATACATGTTTGGAACGACATGAGGGTGTCACAGTTATGGACTTTTGTTTGTGTTCCTGTTCTCCTGCCTTAGTCTTCCTTTGACCTAGTTTTCCTGAGTTGCCCATATTAGTTAATTTGGTTCCACCTGTGTTTATTAATTATCTAATTTATCTATTAGTACTTAACCCTTTGGGGTCTTCTCCTGATAACACCGAAAATAACTTAAATTACACTTTCATTTTTGATCTTACAGATAAGAGCAATACATCAATCGAATCTGTAAAGGGTCTACTTTTATTTGTATACACACATAATAACAACAAAACTTTGTGCATTTATAAAATAAAGAAAAAAAACAGGGTGCTCTGTCTGCCGCCTTGGTCTGCGTGATCTTTATTTAGAAACGCGTCATTAAAATTAACTAACTCAGCAAATACTAAACAAAGAGACATGAGAGATATATCTATAGAAAGCTTGATATGTCTACTTTTAATCTAAGCAAGTCTTATTGAAAGGAAATATTCTGTGATAAAGTAATCCATATGAAACCAACGTGATGTCCAGTCTTTCACGTCTCCCTTCATTATATCTAATGCGACCATACCCACGCGCTGAGCGCACAATAGATATTATAATCATCCACGTGAAGCCACATCACAGCAAACAAAGCAGCAAGACCTTAAGTTTTTTTTTATTTTACTGTTTGCGTCGCGCTGAGAGGAATAAGACAGAATTCACCTCAAGAAGCTTTGGATTACCTCAGAAAAAACAATGCAGCGGCTTGATCCAGCAGTGATCATAAACATGAGTAAGTATTTTTTTTATTAACCCCTCGCATATTCCTTTTCTACACAAAATGTGTCTTAGAAAATTTAAATCAATATATTGTTTTTTGTGAGTGATTAAACAAGATGATTTTCACATCATTCTGAAGCAAAAACTCTAGACTTCAAGATCCAATTCTCAATAGTCGTGTGAACAAATGTTCTGTATGTGTTTTATGGCCTTATTTCAGTGACTTTAAAATTTTAGTTTTTCACTAAGCACGCATAAACGTTGTTTTCTCAAAAACACAATCACATACATACATGCTGCCCACATATTATTGTATCCCAGTTTGTGCTGATTATGGTGCTACTAAACTTAGCCATTAAAATGTTTATTAGCAACTGAAAAAAGCACAAATGTCAGGACATGTCAAAACTTCTCCAGGGCCCAAAACACCCTCGGACCCCAGAGGGTTAAGTCCTGTGTTCTCCCCTGGTTCTTGTTCTCCTATTTGTTGTTGTGTCGATGTGTTGCTACCCCGTACTCTTGGATTGCTTATGTGGATTATTATATTAAAGAGTTCCTTGTGGATTATTCTTCCTATTCTTCTTCGCCTTCCTTAGAGAGACCATAACAGAGGGTGAGCAAGTGATGACAAAATTTTCATTTTTGAGTGAACTCTCCCTTTATCTAACATGAACTATTAGCTATATATTTTACAGCTTTTTTTAACCTGTTACTTTTTTAACCTGTAACGTTCACGTTCATGTTAGTTCACAGTGCATTACCAAATGTTAAAGGATACACATTTATTAGTATTGAAGAATTGTTTATTGTTAGTTAACCAATGTAGTTAACCAATGATAACAAACTAAACCATATTGTAAAGTGTAACCTATTATTAACATTAGCTATTAAAATGGCCTTGAGGTCTCTGAGACCCCAAACAGAACATGAGGGTTCAGTGTGCTCTTATTGCGCTTTCCAATTATCAATCAAAATATGCTTTCCTAGGTGCCACAGCACTTCTTATCCAGAACAATCCTGCCCTCTTTTTACTGTGTACTCAACCCCCTCTGGTAAACCCCGGCAGGTGCTGATGGGGAAGGTTTGCTCTAAGGATTGAGCCCACACAGAAGGGGAGCAGCTGAGGGTAAGTTTCCTCAGGCGTCTCTGGACACACATTCAGTCCCTGGCACAGAGAGGCCATTCAGCATTACACAGAGGGGGGGGGGCCTTCACAGCACTTCTCTCACAGCTCACTGCGCTAGGGCTGCCCATTCACTACGCAACAGATCAGGACGGGAGCACAGAGCGATAAAAGAGACCTTCGATTATTCTGGACAAGCTGCTGCGTTTAAATATGACTGAGCTTCATAATGGGTCAGTGAATAACACATGCCTTATCTTGAGGAAAAAATGAAGACGGTGTGGAAAAAGTGGAAGAACATCATTGACTAATGAGCATGTTGAATTTTCCACCTGAGGGAACACCATGAAATTCATAGAGGGACTGATTTATCTCTTCACGCCATTTAAAATCCCACCGCACACCTCCTGCTCGGACAGAATCAGTGAATGGAGTTTAATTACACTGTTGGGAAACCTCTGCATTAGTATTTGGAACTGCATCATTATATCTGTTCATAAGGCCATTTTGTAATAGTTTTCATTCCATCTAATTGTTTTTTCTCAAGACCAGAGACAAGGCATGAAGTGCTGATGGATGATTGGTCTGTCTTGACACACATTGAATGCATGAAAGGAGGATAAGGTGGGAAGGTCTATGCACAGCTCAAAATTCACATCAAGAAAATAAACATCGGTTGCTTGAGGGAGATGAAAGCTTAGATTTAATGTGCATTTCTTTGATGTGCTCTCAGTAGTATTACAGAACAAAGAATTGATTTAGATTTTCATACTCAAGTGTCTAGTTTGTCATATTTTGAAGAAAAAAAAATTAACTCTCGATATTCTGATGCTTTCGTGAGAAAAAGAAACTGAGAAAGAGTCTGATAGAGCAGTGTTTCCCAACCTTTTTTCTCCCACAAGTAAGGCTCAAGAATCCCCTCATCACATTAAACAATAAACATAATCAATAATGGAAATATTGGAAACAATACTGGAAACATTTCTAGGTGCAAATATGAAAAAACCTTATAAAAAAAGACACAACAGTGAATTTATTTATGAAATGTCAAAATTTTGTTTTATATATTTAGCAAAGCAAAAATCTAAATCTGCATCAAAAATTCAAAATCAAAAAGTACCCCTTGTTGGGAATTAATGACACAAAGACTAAAAAACCCCAGACATCCCCTGTCTATAACCTCACTATATTGCTGCTGTTAGACATCTAAATGAGCCTAAAGAGCTTTAAAGTAATTGTTGAATCAATTCATAGCCTATTAATGCTTGTTTTCTTGAACAGCGCTTTGATCCTGCATGTGTTCTGTACAACGGAAGCTATTACACGTTGAGCGTTTTGAGACTAGAAACAAATATCTTACATGCTACTAAATCATAAAATTATCTGTCACCCAAAATAATTGACAGACAACCCCAAAACTATTACGAAAAAATCGTTACTAATTCTAAAGAATCAGTATTTTGAGCATAATATAAGGGTTTCGTGATGTATCAGAGACAAAGAGCGCGCGTCCATCATGACGCAATGAAACGAAATTAACAAAAAATGACGTACACAAATGTGTTTAACTTGATAATTAGGTTATTGCACAACCACAGGCGTATTCCAGGCGTAACGCGCATTCAGCGTAATACGCATTTTTGCGTCTTGAACCCTGCACTTTCTGCACTTGTGAACCACACATCGCTAGTATATTCAAAACGCGCCACATTTGATATCAAATATATTAGGCTCTAATACAAATCGGATCAATTTCATCTCCGCGAGGTATGCGCAACAGGGAGACAAAAACTTTCACATGCACACTTCTTTTTAATCATTCTGCCATCAAAGCAACAGCTATACATGAACAGCAGCTGCAGTGCGTTGATATTCACCACAGACATTTATCTCTACACTGTAAAAACAGGTTGTACTCACAAGCATATGTCATGGAGAAGCTATTCCCCATTTTGACCATATCCACTTGAGGTACCAGTTTAGGGATATCCTGGTGATGCGAGAGCGCAAACCGAAACACTTCATATTCGTGTGATTCGGTTGGGAATAACCCTCCTGTGGGGGAAGAAATACAATACATTAAAGCAACCTAGGGAGTTTTCTGATCAAACAAGTTAAAGTCCATAATTATGATTTTTTCCCCATTTTTTTTAATTCACAACGCATCATTCTACTCTCCATCCTGCACTTTTGTCATTCACTCACCTATGTTGATATTACTTGGGAAACTGGAACCGAAGCACAATCCCAGAAAACTGGTGTAGAGCAGTGTGAGGCTTCGCTGCATATTTCCTTTTGCATTAGCGAAGAAAAAGAAAGCCAAATCCCAAGCATGGGTCTGCGCGTGGTGTAGAATACGTCTTCTGGATGCTCTCACACTATCCGCACATCGGCGAGCGAGCAGCGTGAATTACAGGTGCACCTCTTTGCGCGGGCTGCCCTCACTCGCACTCGCGCCGAGTCCTTGTGTGTTGCGCTCCTAGTCGTTCCTTTCAGCACAAGCAGCACTTCCTCTGAAAGTCGCCGGCTCGACAGAGAGAGAGAGAGAGAGAGAGAGAGAGAGAGAGAGCGAGACACTCCGATAACCTTATTCCACTCCAGCGCAACACCATGTGTGGACTTTCTTCTCACGTTCACAATTAAGCACTTACTCTGTATGACTGAATTACAAAGCGGTCTTTCTCGCGCTCTAACTGTGCGTCTTGTTACGCACAAAGAGTTGATGGCGAATAACATGAGCGAATGCTTTTAAATGATGTTTTAGACCTTCCTCACTTCAAGGTCCTCCACTGTCAAAGACAATAATCGCAGGGCTCTGATATTTCCTTTGGTTTCCTCTCCTGTAATGATGACAAATCTGCTTATTTTTTTTTCTTTTCAACAAAACCTAGGAATGATTAAAATAATTAACTGTGATGAATTCCAGCAGTTTCAAGAACTGTATGTTCTTCATTAAAAACAACACATTTAAATAGGAAATATGATGCTAGTTTACATATTGGACATCTCCATAATATATTTTTAATCATAAAACTAAGCCATACTATTTGAACATAATTTGAAGTCATCTTGCCTTCAAGTTTGTCGAGGCCTCCTGGTTGACAACCACTGATTTAGAGTATGGTAGATAAACTTTACTAGCCGACATCAACAGAGAGACCATCTGCTGCATCCCAAAACAAAGACAGCTGCTGTCCAGTTCCCTCATAAGGAAATGAAGGTTTCAGACAGGCTTACAATACTCCATAACATGCCAATACACATGAATGTATAGATTTTATATATTAAAGGTATAACTCATGTTATATGTAGAATTATTTGAGCATTTCACCTGAAATCCTCCTAATCTGTATGACTCAAGTGTTGTCTGTGTTTGATCGTGTTGCAGGGGATTGCAAGGGAACAGCCTGTAAACAGTGTGTTCAATGTAGGGAACAGTGAACAGTACATACAGACCATGTGAATTTGAGCAACTAATCTCATGCAAGAACATTCAGACTACAAAAACATGTAACTGCGATAAAGTCAACAACAATTTTATCACTTCCTATACAGTTAGGGTTAATAATGTAAGGCATTTCTGAGAACTGGATGAAAATAAGAGCAAAAAAACTATTTGAAACTTAATCTCTATTTTCAAGGCATGCAATTAAGATTTTTAATTATCTTTATCATGAAATCTCTTCAAATCTCTTATCTTCCTTTGTATAGGCACACCATGTGGAGTTAAAATTGTGATAGTTTTTAACACGCAGGCTCAAGCACTGAAACCATCCTTTATAATGTGGCTGGGCAATCTCTACCACTTAGAGCAGCACAGCCGGCTTCACAGCCACTTTGAGCTGGAGAGAGCAATGACAAGATTAGAACTCTCGGGCTGATTCAGAACAACAGTGGGTTATTTATAATCCACTGCACTTTCAGTGCGATAGAGATTACCTGCTGGCAAACACTGCAGGAAAAAACATGCCAGTCACTGTCGCAGCATCACTACAATAATTCTCAAACCATTCAAGATGCTCATGTTCTCATGGATCCATGATCCATTTAGATGAGTAAGATCATGATTGAGAAATGTTGGATACTGCTGGAAATGCTGCTATGGGGTATCCTATTTATTATTTTAGGATTTTTTTGTTTGCCCCAGTGAAGCATTTCTATTAATATAACTGATTAATTCAAACTCAGCAGAATAGTACAGAAAGTCTATGTCCATAAAACTTCTGAATGAATTATGTTTCTGATACCTAATAGTCAAAAGCAATAGCAAAAGTAATAGGTCAATATTATTAAATTGCAGGCAAAGATTTTGAATAGCTAGGTTGGCTTGTACACTATATTGACAAAAGTATTGGGACACCCCCTTCTAATGAACAGTTTTGTCTACTTTAGTAATTTCCATAAGTACAAATCTGAATGTTTAAGCATATAATGATATTCTAGTGAATTGTGTGCTTCTAATTTTATACCAATAGTTTGGACAGGACCCACAGTTTTGGAAGTGCCTTTTTCTGTTCTAAAGAAGGGGGTGTCCAAATACATTTAGTCATTGGTGTTTGGTGATGAGTTTTTGACTCAAGGTCTGCATTTAAAGTCACACCAGAGGTGTTCAAACTGGGATTAGGACTTGGCTTTATGCAGACCAGTCAAGTTCTTCCACACTGACTGAATAAATCATTTTTTTTTTTTACCTTGTCTTGAGGCATTGTTGTGTTAGAATGGAAAAGGGTCCTGTTCAAACTATTGGTATAAAATTAGAAGCACACAATTCCCTAGAATATTATATGCTTAAACATTATGATTTGTACTCGTGGAAATTACTAAAGTAGTCAAACCTGTTCATTAGAAGGGGGTGTCCCAATACTTTGGGCAATATAGTGTATGTTTGGTATGGTATAAGGGGCCCAACCTCATATTCTTTCAAAGGGCCCAAAATTGCTAGTGGCGCCCCTTAGTCGAGATGAAGCATATGGACTGCAATCAGCCACACCAGCTTCTTACCATGAAGCTCAATGACTTATTGGAAAGTGAGAAGGTGAGGAGGACCTTCTCATTAAGCCTGTATCATATTCAACCCAAAAGACCTCTATTAGACATCAAGGCAAAAAGAGCAAGTAGTTAGAGGCTTGAGAAATTAGTTGCACACATTACGCAAGATGTTTTGATTTTTGTACACACAGCTTGTTCTTGGGGCCTACATAATTAACGTTATCTTTTTTGCAGGATGGCGTCTGCTGTCAAAGAACTCGGTTAATGGCAGCATACGATTCTTCCATATACATTAGACAAGATACAGATTCTTAGAATCGTCTTTAATTTACATATTGTCCTCCAGAAGACACAAACATTTGCATAAGCTTAGAATAAGCATTATGTCCATACCACTAATCACATAACACCTCACAGCAGGCCACATAAAAGGACTTTCATGAGTTCACACTTACATATAATCAGATTGAGCAAATAGTATGCATATTTTGGCATGCTGCCTGAGGGTCCTAGCTCGGATTTTAGCCTGAACCTAGAGAACTCCCCCATATCCCAAGCTGGGATATGAACAGTTAGGAGTGAGGAGTTGGGGTGGAGGAGGGATGTCAGAAAACAGTTATAGGACAAAGGTAAGTTGGCCGTATATATACTTACTATCACGCTTGATTACCTAAACATGCTCCACCTGAACGTGCTCCTCCCAAACTTTCTTAATAAAACATAATTTTAGAGCTCACTTAAATATGATTTGGTTCATGATTGCATATACCAGGTTTTTTCACCTAACAATGTCTTAAATTTCAATTCAATTTCTACATTTAAATTGAGGTTTCAAACAGAATATAGAATTGCAATTCGAATTTGAAGCAGAATTAAGTGTATTTTTTTATAAAGAAGTTAGACAAACTTAAAAGTTCACTTGACAAAGCTTTGTTTTTGAGAGTTTTGAAAAAGGTTTTAAAAATCTTGAAATTTGAAGGTTTAAAGGCCAGATACATTTAGAAATTAAATTATTACATATATATTTTCATATCATGAATGTGGACCTAATCGATGGCCTATGACTTTAGACAACTTCTTTGGCTCTACAAATTGCTCTGGAATAAAAATATAGTCGATAAGACAGCCACTGTCAACACCAAATGAACAATGGCATGTCACCAAAATTATGCACTTGAAACCCTTGAGTATTACCAAAGACTGTATATTCCAAGTTTTATCACATGTAGTACTATGAATGGGAGAAACTGCAATGCACAATATGGCGGAACAAGTCCCGCCTTCAAAAAAATAAATAAAAGAGCAACTAGAAGCTCCAGTTCCCATAGAAACAGTCAGTGTTCTGAAATGCACGCATGGGACTGCACACGCGCAATGGACCAACCTAAATACAAAGCATTTGTTTTAATGCTATATTGAGGACAAGAAACAACATTTTTGTGACAGTTCATGTCGGATTTTATTGCTTTTGTGAAATATTTAATATAAAGTCGGCATAATGGAAAATTCACCCTATCCATTTTCCAAATGCATTTTATAGATCTTACTATGAACAATTCATCCGTCATGTGTTTCTTTTCTTTTTTACATCACAGTACAGAAGAAAAGATCTTTTGCTATTTCGGTTTCATCATGATGTAAAATTTGGGTTTGGCAAACAGTTTTTGATACAAACCCGATTCCAAAAAAGTTGGGACACTGTACAAATTGTGAATATAAACAGAATGCAATGATGTGGAAGTTTCAAATTTCAATATTGTATTCTGAATACAACAGATGACATATCAAATGTTTAAACTGAGAAAATGTATCATTTTAAGGGAAAAATAAGTCGATTTTAAATTTCACGGCATCAACACATCTCAAAAAAGTTGTGACAAGGCCATGTTTACCACTGTGTGGCATCCCCTCTTCTTTTTATAACAGTCTGCAAACGTCTGGGGACTGAGGAGACAAGTTGCTCAAGTTTAGGTATAGGAATGTTGTCCCATTCTTGTCTAATACAGGCTTCTAGTTGCTCAACTGTCTTAGGTCTTCTTTGTCGCATCTTCCTCTTTATGATGCGCCAAATGTTTTCTATGGGTGAAAGATCTGGACTGCAGGCTGGCCATTTCAGTACCCGGATCCATCTACGCAGCCATGATGTTGTAATTAAATGCAGTATGTGGTCTGGCATTGTCATGTTGGAAAATGCAAGGTCTTCCCTGAAAGAGACGACGTCTGGATGGGAGCAAATGTTGTTCTAGAACTTGGATATACCTTTCAGCATTGATGGTGCCTTTCCAGATGTGTAAGCTGCCCATGCCACACGCACTCATGCAACCCCATACCATCAGAGATGCAGGCTATTCCTGAGCCCATGTTGTGATTTTCATTACAGTAGCATTCCTGTATGTGATGCAGTGCCGTCTAAGGGCCCGAAGATCACGGGCATCCAGTATGGTTTTCCGGCCTTGACCCTTACGCACAGAGATTGTTCCAGATTCTCTGAATCTTTGGATGATATTATGCACTGTAGATGATGATAACTTCAAACTCTTTGCAATTTTT